ATGTTATTATGAAATAGGATTTCAAATTTATTATAAATCTCATATATAATCGACATTCGTTTTTTCAAATAGTCTCGATTCTTGACTTTTTACAAGTCAACAAAGTTTACGTTACTCCGATCACCGTATGTTTTTCTATCTCTAATACATATTTTTCTTGTAATTTAAGCTCTATTGTTAACGTTAAAATAAATCTAATTCTTATATTGATTAAGTGTTCTTTTATATTGAGATTTATAATGTAATTTCTTATATGTATTCATAGGTATTTTTTATATATATCTATTGACGTATCCCTACTGTACCCGTATCCATAAATTTTTAGTATTACTGTTTTCCGTCACGGTGTCCGTCCCCGTTTCTTGTCCTCGTACCGGTCTTAGTGCAAACTTAGATGAAAACAATATAAAGCTAAAACAAAAAAAAACAATATGAAGGCTTGGTTAGTCGTATGAAGGAAAAAAACATGAAATGAGTTTTTTTTTTTCTTTAGAAATGATATGCGATTAATTTTTGGTTTACCGGTTCCAAATGTGAATCAAAAGTCAAAATTTAGTCTTGAAACGGTTTTGACCATTTTCTTTTTCTTTAATAATTTATTATTAAGCAAACGTTTGGGACTGAATATACGGTTCCACTACAGTCACGCCTTCTTCTTCCTCGTTGCTTCCTCACCTCCAAGTCTCTGAGATCTCCTGAGAGTCATAGAAATCAGATAGATAGATATAGAGAGAGCTATTTTTCTCTTGAAATCGGAGCATGAATATGGCAACTGGATTTTGAGTTGGATTGTTGGTGTAGTGTGGTGATTTTAGGTTAAAATCAGCAGAATCGAAAAATGGTATTCAAGAACAAACTCTTCTTCTCTTCTTCGAAGAAATCTGGATCTTCGAGCCCCGATAGTTCTAATAGTCCCAGATCTGTTGGCTCCAACTCTCCGATACGATCAGATAAGAAGAAGCCTAAATCCGCTTCCAAGGTTGAAACCCCGATCCCTAGTCCGAGCTCCGTTGCTGGATTTGCCGGAATTGGTTGTAAGCAGACGCAGATTAAAGATAGTTCGAAGAAGAAGGATGGATTATCCAAGGGCAAACAAGTTCCATCTGAAGTTCAAGCTCACTCAATCGGAAAATCGAACTTATCTCCTAGTTCTGAGGCGAAGAAACCAGCCGTTGCAACGCCGCCGCCGGACGCGAAGGAAGGACCGGCTTTTGTTTCTCCAATCATGGCCTCGTCTTTGGGCTTGAATCGGATCAAGACGAGATCTGGACCGTTGCCACAGGAAAGGGTTTTCAATTATAGGAATGATGGGGAAACTCCAGCTCTGTTATGTACGAGCAAACTGTCTAAGATGGTTAGTGATGGAGACTCGGGCTCGGGTTCGGGCTCTGCCACTTCTTCTGGCTTTGGTAGTGGCAATAGGAAGAAAGAAGCTGGGAGTAGCAAACTTGGGTTTGAAGAGAACGTGGGTCGTGCTGGAACGATTGACAGTAAGAGTGATAGTGATAGTATGTCTCCTGATACTGGACCACCGAGGAGCGTTAGCCCTACTTTGCCGGTACCAGGATCTCGATTGAAGAATGTAGCATCCTCATCGGGAACTGGTATGTCCTCAGATACTAATAACATCTTGAAATGGCTGGTGGGAGAACGATATTTCTGTTGCTTTGATGTTAAATGGGAATTCAATTAGGAAAGGCATTGGCAGTTTGCTGAATGCTGGTAATATAATGGGGACTTGTGCTTGTATCATCCTCGATAGTTTGGTCCTGGTCCTACTTGTTATGAGTGTGTTCGCTTGTAAGATATCATAGAGTCTTCTAAGGATGGGCATCTATGAGTTAGATAACTGGAGCTTATCGCCGCATTGGCGTATCTTATTCTGTACTGTATCTAGATATTGTGTGTCACCTGTTGATTTCTCAGTTCTTATTTCTCAAGTTTTCTTTTGATGGTACTTTGCAGGTCGGTCCGAGATGTCATCTGGACGCTCTGGCCCTCTAAAAAATTCAGACTTTTGCACACCAGAGGTACCCCATTCTCCATCATATATTTCATTTAGTTTGTGTATGTGTAATAGGTTTTAGGTGACATGACGTTTATCTTTTTAGAATTCATATGAATGGGAAAATCCAAAAGAGTCAGAATCACCACGTTATCAAGCCTTACTTCGTATGACCAGTGCTCCACGAAAGAGGTTTCCTGGTGACATCAAAAGCTTTTCTCATGAGTTGAACTCAAAAGGTGTAAGGCCTTTTCCATTGTGGAAGCCTCGTAGGTCAAACAATGTGGAGGTAATCTAGAATCTTCTATCTCTATTAATCCCTTGTGAGTTTTGTTGTATACATAATCTCATAATCTGTCTCTTCCAGGAAATATTGGTTCTAATTCGGGCAAAATTTGATAAAGCAAAGGAAGAAGTCAACTCTGACCTTGCAGTATTTGCTGCCGATCTGGTGGGAGTTCTTGAGAAAAATGCAGAAAGCCATCCTGAGTGGGAGGAAACATTTGAAGACTTGTTAATTTTGGCTCGCAGTTGTGCTATGACTACTCCTGGAGATTTCTGGCTTCAGTGTGAAGGCATAGTTCAGGACTTAGATGATAGACGTCAAGAGCTTCCTCCGGGCGTCCTCAAGCAGCTTCATACCCGGATGCTTTTTATACTTACCAGATGTACTAGATTACTTCAGTTTCATAAGGAAAGTTGGGGGGAGGAGGAACAAGCTGTACAACTACGTCAGTCAAGAGTTTTGCATTCTATAGATAAAATACCTCCTACTGGAGCTGGAAGGAGTTCAAGTGCTGCTAAGGTCTTAAAGGTACCGTCCACCAAGAAAGCTTATAGTCAGGAGCAGCATGGTTTGGAGTGGAAGGAGGATGTTGTTGTACGCTCAGTTCCTCCTCTCTCTTCTCCTGAAAATTATGTTCTTCAGGAATCTGAATCTCCTGCAAGCATTGATAGAATGTCTTCTTGGAAGAAACTTCCATCTCCAGCACTGAAAACTGTGAAAGAAGCGCCAGCATCAGAAGAGCAGAATGATAACAAAGTTGAACCTCCGAATATGGTTAAAAATCGACAACGTAGTGATGATACAGCTGTTTCTATTCTCAACTGCCCTCCAGCAAAAGATTCTCATGAACATTCCCCCAAGCATCGGCATAATATTTCTTGGGGTTACTGGGGGGAACAGACGGTTATTTCGGAGGAAAATTCAATAATGTGCCGTATCTGTGAGGAGGAAGTTCCCACTACCCATGTTGAAGATCACTCTAGAATTTGTACATTGGCTGATAAATATGACCAAAAAGGACTGAGTGTCGACGAGCGGCTGATGGCTGTTGCTGGAACTCTTGACAAGATAGCAGAGACCTTCAGGCATAAGGATAGCGTAGCAGCCGCAGAAAGCCCAGATGGTATGAAAGTATCCAATTCAAATTTGCATGAAGAATCTGATGTTCTCTCTCCAAGGTTAAGTGATTGGTCGAGAAGGGGGTCAGAAGACATGCTTGACTGTCTACCGGAGACTGATAATTCAATTTTTATGGATGATTTTAGAGGTTTACCCTTAATGTCATGTAAAACCCGTTTTGGCTCCAAGTCTGATCTAGGCATGACAACTTCTTCTGCTAGTAGCATGACTCCTAGATCCCCGATTCCAACCCCTAGACCTGATCCATTTGAACTGATTTTAGGAGGCAAGGGTATGTTCCATGATCACGATGATATTCCACAGGTTTGTGCTCCAAGTTCATAAGTTTTCTTGTCTTTTGTTATTAAATGTCCTCCTGATGAAAAAACTCTTGACAACTGATGACGCAGATGAGTGAACTTGCTGACATTGCAAAATGTGCAGCAGATGCCATTCCGGGGGATGATCAATCAATTTCATTCTTACTTTCTTGTCTTGAAGATCTGAGGGTTGTCATAGACCGCAGAAAGTTTGATGCACTTACAGTAGAAACTTTTGGTACTCGCATAGAAAAGTTGATCCGGTGAGTTCCTTGATGCTACTTTCCCCTCCCTTGGTCTTCTTTTTGCGTGCATGCATATTTTCTGGGAGATGTTTTATGGTATCCAGAAATATTATGTGGTGAAAGTCTAACTTTCTTGATTTTATGTAGGGAAAAATATCTGCAGATGTGTGATCTTATGGATGATGAAAAAGTTGACCTATCAAGCACTGTAATTGATGAAGATGCTCCTTTGGAAGATGATGTTGTACGGAGCTTGAGAACCAGCCCAGTTCATCCGCGGGACCGCACATCGATAGATGATTTTGAGATCATAAAACCAATAAGTCGGGGAGCTTTTGGGAGAGTTTTTTTGGCTAAAAAGAGAACAACAGGAGATCTATTTGCAATCAAGGTAAACGATTTTGTGCTTTTGTTCTCCTTTCATTTCTTCTCTCTTTAGTTATAGAAGATTCTCGCTTTTTGTAGCTGGGCTGACCAGATTGGCAAAATCTTTAGTAGGGTTTCTCTGATCTTTTGCTTAAATGTCTGTCATACTCCTCAGGTTCTGAAAAAGGCAGATATGATCCGTAAGAATGCTGTTGAAAGTATACTTGCTGAACGCGATATTTTGATCAATGTCCGCAATCCCTTTGTGGTGAGCAGGTCTAGCCTTTTAAGCATATTATTCTATGGTTAGATCTGCTTCTTTTAAAACAATGTTGTTTTGTGCAGGTTCGTTTCTTCTATTCTTTCACTTGTCGTGACAACCTGTATCTGGTGATGGAGTATTTGAACGGAGGGGACCTGTATTCGTTGTTGAGAAATTTAGGTTGCTTAGAGGAAGATATTGTCCGTGTATATATTGCCGAAGTTGTAAGTTTTATATGTTTTTTTTTAATTAAAAATTATACATAGAAGCTCTAGAAAGTGATTCCATGATGAACTCCTTGTCAGGTCCTTGCTTTGGAATATTTGCATTCTGAGGGTGTTGTTCACCGTGATTTGAAGCCTGATAATTTGTTGATTGCGCATGATGGTCATATTAAGGTACCTTTTCCATTGTTAGAATTCTGCCATCTTTTGGGAACTTATGGGTTGTTAGTCCTTCAGAATACATTCTTTGTCTTGCTATATGAGGCTTGGGAGATTGCGTTCTGGTCTTGGCAACAAACTCTAAGAATCAATGTAGACCTTATGGCTTCTTTCGTTTTATTGAGCAGTTGACAGATTTTGGGCTCTCAAAAGTGGGTCTCATCAACAGCACGGATGATCTGTCTGGTCCTGGAACGTCTCTGCTTGATGAAGAGGAATCACGACTACCGACATCCGAGCATCAGCTCGAAAGGCGCAAGAAACGGTCTGCTGTGGGTACTCCTGACTACTTAGCGCCTGAAATTCTTTTAGGGACAGGACATGGTGAGTTCTAATCTTGGTGTCCGCATATCTTTTATTCAAGATTACGTTTTCGTAGAATGATTGGTACTCTGCTGGGATTGGTTATTGGAATACAAAAATACACTACTACAAATTGATTTCTGTTCTATAGTTCTGGTGTAAGTAGAAGGTTTATATATAATTTATATTCTAAGTATGCTGGACGACTGAGCTTCAGATATTTCGTTCCGTTTATCACATGCCAAGACTGCAAATTCATTTATATTCTTGCATTATTGGTCAGGTGCAACTGCGGATTGGTGGTCTGTTGGCATCATTCTGTTTGAGCTCATCGTGGGAATTCCACCCTTCAATGCAGAACACCCTCAGGTGAGAAAATAATTGCGTTGTTTCCTGTTAATGCTTTTTGATAGAGGGACAGATTGTAGTTCAAGGTCTCAGAAACGGATAGTCATACCTAGGCTGGTCTTTGCGTTCATTTTTGTATTGGCTTTCTTAATTTCGATAAAGAGTACTTTGCATCTAGTTTCGGATTTCGACATTTGATCAGCATTTTCTTTGGTTTGTTCTAGCAAATATTTGACAATATTCTCAACCGGAAGATTCCGTGGCCTAATGTTCCTGAAGAAATGAGTGCTGAAGCCCACGATATTATAGATCGGTAAGAGATATTCTCTCTCTCGAATCATCTGCCTTACAGTAGGATTCCCTGACGTCCAACGTAAAGAACATACCAAGCACGTTTGGTTCAAATTTTATGTTACCATCCATATACAAGATTGAGTGTTAGCTCCATAGAGAAAAAGGATACTGTCTGTAACATCTTGTCATGTTCTTTTTCTAGATTTTTAACAGAAGATCCTCATCAGAGGCTTGGAGCTAGAGGGGCAGCTGAGGTAAAAGTGGATGTCTTTTTCTGTGTTGATTAGCTCCAGTTTGTTGTCAAACTGTTAATGAAACAAATTTCATGACGCAGGTCAAGCAGCACATCTTCTTTAAAGACATCAACTGGGACACTCTAGCGAGGCAAAAGGTGCAATTATTTATCTTATTCTTTTGAACACACAAACTTTGCAGAAGAGACATTCAGTGCCTTTTTAAAAGTTTAACACTAGTTTTCTTTAGGCTGCATTTGTTCCGGCTTCAGAGAGTGCAATTGACACTAGTTACTTCAGAAGTCGCTACTCGTGGAACACATCAGATGAGCAATTTTTCCCGACCGGTGAGGTTGAAGATTATAGTGATGCTGATAGCTTGAGTGGCAGCAGTGGTAGCTCGAGCAATCGTCATGAGGAGGGGGCGGTAAAATTCACTGATCCACTCTTCGAATTCAACCTCAGAATATAGTAAAAACTCTATCATTGATGTTCTTTGGATGTATAATTTCCCCAAAATGGATCAATGTTGGTACACAGGTTGAAGAAAGCGAAGGACTTGCAGAGTTTGAGTCTGGCGTACCTGTAGATTACTCTTTCAGTAATTTCTCGTTTAAGGTACTATCTCATGACATACCTGTTAAGATCCAATGTTGTCTGAGTATACAGTTACAACTGGTTACTAGTTTACATAGATGTTGATATTCCATATTTCATTTTAAGTTTGAGTTCTATGTATAGGTTTGTGTTAACAGATTACTTACTGTAGCATAAGTATTTCATTGCTCTCTGCGTTTTGAATTTCTTTATGGTTTGCAGAATCTATCTCAGTTGGCGTCAATCAACTACGATCTTCTATCCAAAGGCTGGAAAGATGAGCCACAACCAAAGTCGCATCACAAGCAGTAACATCCATTCCCTGAAAGCTCTGTTCTTTTTTTTTTCCTTTGGTGTTCAGTGAGTCAGTGTGATGAGTAGTCAGTCTATCATTACCGGCATTCTATACTCTGTAAATGTAAGTCATTTGTTTCTGTCGATTACCTTGTTCATCACAAAATCAATCTTGTAAGCTCCATTCGCAGTATAAAAAAAAAGAAAGAAATTGAATCTGTTATGTGTTGTATCTACAGAGACAGGAAGAGAAGAAAGAGGAGACAATGGACACTGAAACATTATGGGACCACAACCACATGGGGTATTGGTCGTTTGCAAACAGAAGGTAACTTAGTCTGTGTAATTGATTGAGTGTTTCCTATGTTTATATATAATCACATGGACATGAGAGTGGGTGAGGAGCGTTTGCGTTTTGAGGTATCAGCAAAATCAGTCTATATGTAAAGATGAGAGAAAACTCACATCCTACCCTTTAATGATTTTCAAATGCCATTTAAGACGCAACCACCTCAATAATGTTTTACTAGTATTTATTAAGTTGTCTACCGCGATTTTAGTAACAATTCATAGTTGGGCAAACACTAAAAGTCATAACGGAAAATAAAAAAAACATACAACACGATGTCGTATCTCACATTATTTTTTTACCTGTGGTGAACTTATTACAATTCTTATTGGGTTGCAAGAATCGGTGATGTATTTAGTGCATGTAAAAACATAAACATCTGATGTATCACAAGTTTCATGTCTATGACTGTAGTATAAATATGAAGTCATAATACTTCTCTCCTTTTTCTGCTTGCGCACTATCGTATCAAAGAGACAAAAAGGCTGAAACAATACTGAAATAAAGTTAAAAGCACTAATAATTACAACCACAACGAACTCCTCAGTCCTCATCATCAGTGCCCACACATG